TCCGAATGGTTAAAAATTCCTAATGTAACAACACCGATTAGTTACTCATCCTATTTTTATAATTCGTATATTACAATATTCCTAATTTTTATAATTAGGTACTATGTTCAAAATTCCGAGTTACAATAGATCGAATAAAAAAATGTCTGTCCTAATGATAATTCGAAACATCAAAAATTCGAATATTTTCTTTCGAATAAAAATATTTTTTTTTCACTGGCCACTGTTCTAACTTAACTTTACCCAATTGATTGATCAACAATAGAGGGGATCTGGCGATCGCCGGCCGCTCGCTACGTTCGCTCGAATTTTGCAGGAGAAGCAGAAAAAACAAAAAAAATAATCATAAATGTTAATAACAAATTAGACATTTTTAAATTACATTAAACGTTTTTAAATATTTATGCGAATCGAATTTTATTGAATTTGAATATTATACTAACTGAATCAGAATTTTAGCGGTTTATTCGAAGAATTAAAAATAGGAAAAACAAACATATCGCACTTACGACTTTCGGTAAAATAAAATTCGTTTAAAATTTTATTATTAGACATTTTTAGATATTATGTAATTCCGACTTTTGAAACTCGGAACATCGGAATTTGGAATAAAATATTTCGGAGTATTTGGGTGTTCCCCTACTCTACTCCGTTGCTGAAGCTGCATGAATAAGAACTTAAGAACGTAACTTAAATCTTTAGAGGCACTGAACTTTAATCTCTCTCTCGGAATATCTGTGAAAAGATAGAAAAGAAGCTGGTTTATTTTAAAGCTTGAAATAGTCCAGCTCCTAAAGCAAATCGAATAAACTACCGCTTTGATTCTAAGGTGGCAAACCTGGGTACTTTGACGTATTTCCCAGCTAACACGACCAGCGAGTAGATATCTGGCGCCATAATATGGCATAAAATTATTGCTTTAAAAATATGTAAAAACCTTAAGCATTTATTTTCAATATATATTCATTTTAATGCAGTCTAAAATCTAAAGCCCGATAATGTTTAGCTCTTAATTATAGTCACAATGTATAAATTAAATAGTATTTCATTATGGAGAATTAACACTTTATAAAGAACCTTCGATAAAGTAAAAAAGTCATATTAAAATGTAATCTAGTTTACACGGCTATATTCGGCAAATAGATACGTCTACGGCCACCGACAACCCATTATAAGTCAAAACAAGATGAGCGAAAGTTACTTTTGCCATGACTTCTGAAATCTTCTGTTTTTTTTGTATACCTACCAATAGCTTTAGTTTACTATCATTTTTGGAAACTTGAATTTATTGATATGTATGCATATATATATATCTAAATGATTGTATAAAATATTTGATAAAACTAATAAAATGAATTGGTCTGGAACCAAAATATAAAACGCGATTAAATGCCCTAAGAGAGTTAGCATTGCCGGTATCACATTCAAGGTGGAAGGGCTCCAACTGGGCAAAAGTGACTTTTGATTATGATCATTTATTCCGTCCCAAGCGTTGAAATAAATCTCTAGAGTGTTGTTGCGATAGCTATGGGTTATTATTATGTCTAGCGGTGTAAAGTACTGGCGAAAGACATCAATATATTGACACTTTAAGAAGTAAATTCTTCTCATTTTAAATATAAACAAGTGCTGAACGATCATTGAGCACGAGAACATTACATCGGGCTCGGCACCGGCTTCAAACAGCCATTATAATGTTATCTCTTATATTAGTTTTTTCACATAGACTTATAATTATTATTTTAATTTAGTAATATTTGTTAGTATTGTTTGCAGTCGATTCAACTTTTTTTTAGAAGGCTTTATTATACCATGTTTAATGTAAGATATGTTCGTAATGAGTAGATAAGTACAATATTGCTGCGAAAACAAATGGAACCTTTATCAGGCCGCAAGGAATCGGTGCAACCAGGTGACACGCAATGCTAAACGCCGACATATACTTCAAAACATAGACTCTTCTTCCTCGTCCAGTATCTGGAAATTTCTTGGTACTTTAGGAATTGGTAAACAACAACAATAATATTGGTTTGAATGATATCAACCGTCATTTCTCAGCCACAACTACGCTGGATCTTCAAACTAAGTGTTAAACGCTAAATTACATATCTGGTCTTACCAGTCCCTCTACTGACTCGTTTTCGCCGGTGTCTCCTGAGGATATCAAAAAGACTATTCTATCTATCCGTTCTAATGCTGTGGGGTGTGATGGCATTGATTCTCACCATCCTAGACTGTATTCTATCAGTAATTACTCACATAATCAACTTCTCTCTTGACTCTGATACCTTCCCCTCTTTGTGGCGCAAAGCTTATATTATTCCTCTACCAAAAAATAATAACCCCTCACTTCCTGAACACTTTTGACCTATTTCTCTTCTTGCTTTTCTATCTAAAGTACTCGAGGCCTGTGTACATAAACAGCTTTCTCAATTTGTATACAGAAACCAACTTTTAAGCCCTCTTCAATCTGGCTTCAGGCCCGGTCACAGCACAGTTACCGCTCTCCTTAAAGTGACTGGCGAAATTAGAAAGGGTATGGAAGACACCAAAGTCACAGTATTGGTATTAGTTGACTTCTCTAACGGCTTTAATACCGCCAATCACGAAATCCTGTTATCTATTCTTACATATCTTATGGTTCCTTCTGAGACACTGGAATGGTTCTCTACCCATCTTCAGGGGCGACAGCAATGTGTTCGTGCTGATGATAGATCATCGAGTTGGTGCGACCTCTACGCTGGCATCCCACAAGGCGGCATTTTATCTCCACTTTTATTCTCAATATTTATTAATCTCATAACTCAACATCATCAGTGTGCGAGTCACCTGTATACCGATGATCTGCAGCTGTATTAAGCAAGAGTGGAGGAACTAACGCAGGCTATTGACGAAGTGAACAGGGACCTAGAGGCCATAAAATCCTGGTCGATGAGATTTGGACTGTCGATTAACCCAACCAAATGTCAGGCAATTGTAGTAGGCAGCAAACGTTTAATGAGCACATTGGATACTACCTCTATCCCACCGGTCGTCTTTGATGGCACAGTTATTCCATTCAGCCCTACAGTCAAAGATCTAGGCTTGCTCATCGACTCAACCCTCGATTGGCGAGCTCAAGTTACTAGCGTGAGCCAGAAAGTAACTGGAAACCTGCGAACATTATATAGTCTAAAGAATTTCCTGCCTCCTAAAACTAAAACTACACTCATGCAGTCCTTAATAATTCCAATAATTGACTATGGTGATGTATGTTACTTCGACCTGAATGCAGACCTTCTTAATAAACTGGACCGTCTTCTCAATAACTGCATTCGATACATTTTCAATCTTCGGAAGTATGACCATGTGTCTGCTTTGCGCTCCCAATTAAACTGGTTCCCTATTCGCCTGCGTCGCCATCAGCGTGCATTTACCTCTTTATTTTCACTCTTAAACTCACCGACCTCACCTACTTACCTCGCTCCCTGCCTGCGTTACCTGTCCTCTAATCACGACAGAAATCTTCGCTCAGAAAATAATCTGCTTCTCTTATGTCCCTCCTACAACTCCAACTTCGTGAACTCCTCGTTCTTTGTTCAAGCAGTACTACTCTGGAATGCGCTCCCGCTCGAAATCAGGATGTCCACTAACCGTTTTGTATTCTAAAGAAGGTGCATGATCTCCTTCTTAATAAAATGGCAGAACTACTCAGTCCATAGTACACCTCACATTCCGGTATACATAGTGTACGAATATAACATGTATATTTATAAAGATATTTATATACATATATTTATATATGTATGTGTATGATGTGATGTGTTGTATATGTGTATGTATATATATGTAGTGAACCGTGTATATTTTTATATTATATTACATGTCATAATATGTAATCTCTGTGCACCTACCTTATATGATTTCTACACCACCCAAAGGTTGACTGGAAGAGAATGCCTTGGGCATTAAGTCCGCCGATGTACAAAAGTGCATAAAGTTTGAAATAAATAAATAAATATTTAAAATACTACTGATTCCAGTAGGTACGTAGTGTTTTAAATATCGTACTTACGTACATTTATACATAAGTAAATAAATTACCCAACTGTAGTATGTCAGATTATATTAAATTTAGTTTAATAAGTCCGTTACTTTATTTAGATAAGGTAGTAAGATGTTACATTTGAACCCAACAATTTATTGTTTTCCACATTTCTTAATTTTCCACCACCAGGAGTGGCAATTTTCTTCACATTTGAATGGAACCAAAGTGGAAATATACCCATTCAAATAAAAAAAGAATCTTTCAAATCGATTTACAAATAAAAGAGTTTTAAGCTTAAAAACATACAAAGAATAGCTTTTTTTGTTTAAATGTTTTGTAATCTCATTTTTTACTCTTTTGCACATATCTCTGTCACCCAACACAAACACCTAATTTTTTTTAGGTGAATAAAACATTTGGAAATAGTTGTGCTCCTACCTAACTATTTCCAACCTCCAACCTAACTCCTAAATGTCAAGGATCGTCCATCAGCAAAATTACATAACGACTACTAAATGCAAGTACCCATATAACTAGAAAAACAAGCTAAAACACGTTGTCGAGGCTGTAAAATTTGAGGGTTTCCCTCGATTTCTCTAAGATTCCATTATGAGATCATGAGTTAGTGGTAATTGGACTACCCCGGCAGTACAACATTCGATTGCAAAAATAATTTTAAAAACTGGTCCACAATTGGAAGAGATATCGCGTAACAAACATACAAAAAAAATACAGTCGAATGAGAACCTCCTCTTTTGTGTTTTAGAAGTCGGTTAAACAGTCGATTTTTAAGTCATCAATTTTTTTTTGTCCCATCAAAACAAATTCTATAAACCAATAGCGGATCAGCCTAATGAGATTATGACTAATTCCTTAAAACTATAAAAATCTTCCTGAGACAGCTGCAAATTGTTCCTAACATAAATTTGCCGCTCCGAAACTGCCGTTTAGTATTTCACACTAACGGATTAAGATGCAAAATGCTCTGACAGTTGATGTTGATGCAAGATGGGTTATTTTTGTAATCCTATTGCTCCATGACCGTCTGTTGAGATCTGTCAACCCGTTGCTTTGTGGTGATGCGACCACGCGGCAGGGAGTCGCGCAGATAATGTACAGATTAGATGGAGATCTGAAAGGTACCACATTGTTTAACAAACTCAGGTAGATTTTTGACTGCCTCGAGTGTGTTAAACAATACATAAACAACATTATTTTCAAATAATGCGATTATGTAGACGCCAACAAAAAATATACAGTTGTCTTGATTGACAGTTCAACTTGTTGCTAATGTTAGGAGTGATGTGGGGAATAATCAATATTAAATTTACTCAACCAATAGCAATGGTCCTTTACATCTTAAAGCCGATTATCTATTACATATCTAATTTACATCTATGTATATTATATACATCGTATGTATATATCTGTTTTGGTAATTCTAAAAGAGTTGTTAGATTTCATCACGAGTTTGTTCGAAATCTAACTTACTGGCTAACTAATTTAGGATTTAATCTGAGTTTAAGTTCTGACCCTAAAATTTATCTAGACTACAGTGAGTTTAATACTCACTGCAGTATAAATAAATTTTGTGTTATGTTTACTTATAAGACACGATTTAGTCGTGAAACATTTGAAGAAGTGTATCACTACTAGGTATAACGTGAAAAGAATAGGTAAAATAATTTCAATGGCAAAGGTAGTAAGTAGTAGGTGTCAACTTTTTTTTACTTACTGTACTCTCTTAAGTTTAGGTATACTTTAATTTTTAAAACAAAGTAGCTGATTTGGAATGTCGTATAAATCTGAAAAGGTACATATACCACCCGTACCTAAAGTAAATATGAATATTGTATATATATTTAATGTATATGTTTGTTTTGTAAAATTCGGCAAAACTGGGTGTTTCTACAATACTCCTTATATGATTTTATTATTTTTATAGTGAGTGTTATAAAAGTACAATCCTCGTACATTTCGTTATTTCAATATCCATTTTTTTACAGAATATACATAGGTATGTGATAATTTATAAATTAATATTCGCATCATGAGGACCATCGTGGTCCTAGGTCTATTCGAAGGTTTAATAGGTATCTCCAAAACAATTAAGAAGGCATGTGGAGTTGGCAATAAAAATGTTCGTCGTTGCACGCTGTCTACGATTAAACAGGTTTTATCATTCATAAAACTATTTTAATAAATTATCGATGCTAAACCTTGGCCATAAAAGAGATTGGAGCCAGTCTAACAAATAAACTAAAATTAAATATACACGAATACAATCGAAATTTTTGTCTCAGGCGTATAAAAGTGTCCTATAAATTTACCCACAGTTTAATTTAATGTCCAAAAGTACCTGCTTCACATTTTTTTATTATAAATAAATGTTCGTCGCCGGTTACGGGTGAACGAGTGTATGTTATTATTTTGAGATATGGTTTTGAATTTGGCTCGGAAGGTTATGATATTTTAAGGCTTCTTCCTTTTGTGATTTGACTCAGTAAATTGGATATTTTAAATGTACAAGTAGATGTAATGTTAATAAAATGTTTATCGTCTTTGACAGGAAACGAAATCACAAACATCAAAAACTACAGAGGCACCGACTCGACACCAGCTGAAGAACTCATATACACAACCGTCTAATTAGAGCATCGGTGGGCGTCGGTAACGGCGCGGTTTTGCAGCAACGTCACCAGCGGGGAGAACCCGCCGCGTGGATGGTGGCGGGCGAATGGGGCTATGCGCCGGCGTCGGCCACCCCCGCCATGAATGCGTTTCTAGAGACCAACCATGCGCACCTCGCTTCCTATGGGCTGAAGATGTCACCGCAACCTGCGTGCGGTGTAGGCGCCCAGCATCGTGCTGCTGCGCCACACCCGCCACCGCCTCATCATCCTTCACACTATCAGCCATATCCACTACACTCATACCAGCCAGGATACCTAAGAGAGTACAGTGGTTGCGGAGAGCTCTTTCCACAACAGCCATTGGAGCAAGGCTGGGAGTGGAGGGGCGACGTACACTATCAGGGCAGTGCGCCACCACTCGTCCCGCATGCACACGCCCATGCGCCTCACGCCTTTCTACGCTACGTGCGGGCACCACCACGGCGAGATATGCGCTGTCAGTGGCTAGACCCTGAGCAGCCACCACCGAGGAAATTGTGCAACAAACTATTCTCCAGCATGCATGAAATTGTGACGCACCTGACAGTAGAGCATGTCGGCGGGCCTGAGTGCACAACCCACGCGTGTTTTTGGCAGGGTTGTTCGAGGAACGGGCGGCCATTTAAAGCGAAATATAAATTGGTTAATCACATTCGAGTACACACTGGAGAAAAACCTTTTCCTTGCCCTTTCCCTGGATGCGGTAAAGTCTTCGCAAGATCCGAAAACCTAAAAATACACAAAAGAACACATACGGGTAAGTAAATTTTAAATTAAAGTTTTCATAGCTGACATACTACCAGGTGAAAATATATTTATATTGTCACAATATATCATGAATGGGTAGGACAGACATTAGGACTCAATTGGAAAAAGTTAATTCGTCACATATTGAAATAAATGTCTCTCGTCCGGTATTCATGTAGTAAGATGTCAAAGACATTGACGCGGACGACGAGCGTAGGAAACATTTCGATTCTCATTAATTCATAATGAATTGCCTCCCGCAGTTGCCGCCTGCGGCTGACTGATGCCCACTGTTGCGATATATCCGAACACGCCTCGACAGTAACCGAACGGACACAATAACAACAGACACACAACAAACTATCAAAGAATATTGTTGTAACGCGATATCGAGCACAAACAACGGAGCTAACGGGCGTCCTATAAATGTTCACGTCGACTTGTGAAGTCTATTTCTCAGTAAGCAAGGACAAAAAGCCTTTTAAGTCAGAACTCCATTTTTCAATTCATTACAAAAGTCGAAAGATTCGTCTGAACTACGTATGTTAGATAGAAAAAAAAATGGATCGTAAATTAAAATGTCCAGTTGGTCGTGCTCGGTCCTTGCGTCTTGTCTCTGTCACACACTGGACTATTGTTATTGTTAAAGTATTGGTACTTAACTTTAAATATCGATATTTGAGGGACAGGCCAAGGATTTGTATCGTCGGGGAGCGTAGCCAGCTGGTTTTTTTTCTTTGAAGATCACTGTTTAGTGTTGCATCCAGACTTTTGTCCTGTGCCCCCGTCTGCTATTATCTCATAGGGACTTTGAATAGACAAAACGTTTTTTGTGGGGAACTTTGAAGAATTGTTTTATGGGTGGCTATAAATTACACTAAAGGTTGTGTTAAAGTATAGTGAGATGGGGCCAGATCATTATGGGTTTAATTAGTCAGTGCAAATATAGCGGCCATGGAGGCTATGGTCAAGAGATCATAAAATAGGTTGATACTGTATTTACAACTTGACGGCCCACCCAAATGATAATGACCATTTAACTTATTTTTAAATGGATCTACTTCATACGAGTATTAAACTTCGAGATTATTTGTTTTTTGAATTTTTAATGTGTTATCAGCCATCTTAATTTATAATTAAATTAAGATTTGCCAATTAGTCACCTGGGTGTGTAATACCTATCGTGAGTCTATTATAAAATACTCTCACTTAGAAATCGTTTATTCCTTTTATTCTAAAGATAATCATGACTTTATCAAAACTATCCACAATGGAGCTATTTCCTAATATTATAATTAATTTATTGAACGAAGCAAAAACATATGCACCTTCGTGCAGAACTTAAACAAAAACGTTTTTCTTTTATTCTGTTATATATATAGGTATTAGGTATGTTAGATGTTTTACATTTCAAGGACTAAATTCACGAGAAATATGAATAAATAATGTTTGGAACTATTCATGTGGTCACGGATTAAGAATACTTTAAGAAAATAAAAAAAAATCGGGTTGGTATTTGATGGGAGGCTCCAAACATCAGTCAGATGTAAGAAAAGTAAATGAGCACAATGCGATCCTGTCGCTAAACTTTGCTAGACAAAAACTTTTTTCGGACTGAAAAAAACACGTTACTCATAGGTATTGCTCTTTTAGCCTTATTACAGAATTAGCATAAATACCAATAATATTCTTTGAATGAATCGCATCATTTTTTTCTGCAAAGTGCCTGACTTTAATTTAATAATCTACTTCAGTATAATATGTTAGTGTATAGTCAATAACAATCCTCACTAAACCGTATTTGATTTAGTCGCTGAATAAATAATAGTAGGTACTAGTACTACTGAGTAAAATCATTTAGATAGATCCAGATTCTGTCCACATTAAAATCAACTGCAATTTAGGCTGCACCGCGTTATAATAAAAAAACATTCAGTCGTATTCATTTACATGTTGCCTTTATTTTATTATATTTAATCATCATCTCTCTTGACAACGTTAGAGTTGTGTTTTTTACTATTTGATATCCTTCGGTAGTGTAAGGAAAATGAAATTCGGATTCTTGTATTTGTTTGAAGTCGCCAAATATGATGCCCTTCCATTTTTTATCTATCGCAGGACTCGTGAGTATCAAACTAGCGTGAGAACGTACGTATATACGTATGAACGTACATACGTACGAACGTGAACGTACGTACCCATCAGACCAGCGTTCAGAAAAGGGGCGTTGGCCGCGCGTCATACATGCGTTTTAGTAAAACCGCAATTCGGTTCGAGTTCTGTACTCGTTAAAAATGGGGGTAAAAAATATAGTTAAAACTTATTAAAGGATATGAAGTGTCACTGTAATCATGTAGATAGGTACATTCGGACGGATGTATGACAAACAATTGATCACATTGTGGGCGTCAATGCCGTAGGCTAGGATATGAAAAAAAATGCGTATTCTTGTTAACGTACTTGTAGCACAGTTGGTCTGGCCTGGTTTTGGTCGAAATCCTTTTTTGGATCTATTAGTATTCTTTAAGCTCATTATACTTACCTATCAGTAAGATAAGTGATGCTGATTTATGGACTGACCGCCACGAAACTGTTGACTGCACGGATGGCGTAGTGGTTTAAGTGGTAACTTCGGCCTTTCCTACTGCGCTGAGTGTTGTGGGTTCGATCCCCACTTGGGACAACAATTTGTGTGAAATACAAATTGTTGTTCTGAGTGTGGGTGTTTTTTGTGTCCGTTTCATGTATGTTTGTAATTGCCGACTTCGGATATATTCCTCCTACAGTTAACCTTGAGAGCCAGAGTTGGTCTTCAAAAAGAAAAAAGAAAATTAGGACGATCAATGCTTAAGCCTTATAGTGCTAGGTATATAAAATAATTAAATAATTTTGCTAAAACAAGTAATTTTTAACACTTTAATGTGATAAACTTCTTTAGATTTAAATAAAAATCAATATGGAAAAACTTATAATTATGCAATCATTGAGTTGACAGAGAAAATGATAGTCGGTTCTTTAACCTCCGAGTAAAACTATACTGTCTTAATCAGTAGCGTGGTTATAGAAATATTTCGTTAACGATCACTAAAAACAATCACAAAGGTAACTCGATACCAAGAAAATGAATACTGGTAGTTAAAAATGAAGATTTGTCACACTATAAAAATATTTGATTTTATAGTTGCCTCTGTTACGCTAGAATACTCACATGATACTTTTTATTTATGGCTGATATCTATTGTACATTCGCGTTCAGATCAATGAGTCAACCAACTATATAGGTACTACCAGTTAAACTACAAAATTATATATCATCCGAATAAATTGATTAACATTTCAACAAGAAGCGGCAATACACATACCTGAAAGCGTTAAGTTAAGGACCGTAAGGTTTGAACAACTTCAGCCCATACATACACTTATATCCAACAACTTTACACAAACTTAAAATACAATCATAATTCATACATAGATAATTAATTTTGCAATCATAAATGTATTACTTTCAACTGCATCTTTGGCAGCTGTCTTATAATCGCTGTATAACATCATTAGTAGCCACTAATTAATTATTAAGTTTAAATGAAAATGATGAATATTATAGTCCATGTTGTTGAAGTCGGAACATGTTTAGCTATTGAGTAAAAATAAAAAAGAATGTAAGAAGAAGTACTGAGTCCATATTACCAAAAAAAATTGTGAAATCTTACAAAAGTAGTACGTTCCTATAATTTATTTAAATAAACTATAAATACAAACGTTTTCTTATTTAAATTGATGTCTCTTTCCTCAACTATTCACTCCCTACGTTCACCGAAAGAAAAATGAGGTTTGGATAAAGCTCTCCTTTGTACATATCATTTCGTTACTCGCCCTTTTTAGAGTAAAGTAATGTGGACAGAAAGAAGAAATGCAAAGACATAAAACTTACTAAGATGCAAACTAGACTCTGTATTGCCCTATGCCCGTAAAGTTTTATACCATGACAATTAATAAAATGTAATAATCCTATTTGTATGTAGAATTGTCGTTATTAGTTCACGGTTTTCACAGAAGTTGTCAATCTAAGTAGTATTCATAATGTTATTGCCTCAGTTCTGACTAATAGACTCTAGACTAGAGTTGACAGAAAGAGAAAATGAGATCTAGTTTATCAATTAATTATTTCGATTTAAAGGCTGAGCAAGTTCTCACAAATTTTTCCTCAATCGAATGTGAGTTTGCGTATTATGCTGAATCAAAATTTTTGAAATTATAATTATGAAGCTTTGCATACAAATGATCACAGGTTCAGAAAAAGCTATCAAATACCTTGCATCCAGAAAAAAGAACTGATCACTTGAGATAACTGTAATAATCAACAAAATCTATTTGGAAGAGGGTAAAAGTTAGTGGATAATATAATAGAACAAAAGGCATGTCAAGCACTTATTGACTTAAACTTGGTCAATTCGGATGCAACATGCTCCAGGAAAAAAAAAACAGAAGTACTTTATCCCAAGTTACCATCGGGCCTAAAGTCTAAAAGAAAAGACATGTAAAAGTATAATTACAAAATGTACTAAACAACCATATTCCTAACTAGAATTTGCCACTCAAGAAATAAAGGGCTAGGTGCCAATTGCTTTGGGAATTCATCATCATCATCAACAGCCTTTAATAGTCCACTGCTAGACATAGGCCTCTCCTTAGAAAGAAGGTTTTGGTCTACTGTACCACGCTGGCCAGGGTTGAAATTTTCTTTGGGATTTAAGATAGAGAAATTAGAAATAGGAAGGTAAAGGAAGAAAAAGTTAATGGCATATTTGGGAGTGCAAGTAATTGCTTGAGAATGTCAGGGTCGCAATTCTGTTACTGGAACTGGCTGTTGCAGAAAAACCAGAGCCCTCTGACCAGTAAAACTAATAAAGTAATTATCTATCTCCGCGTCTTCAACACTTAAGTATTTACTTACTTATACGGTCTCTCCTCGTGATGATACGTAAATAATCACCCATATTTGGAGGTAAA